CTGGGGGTGCGGAGTCTGGGGGTGCTGAGCCTGGAGGTGCCGAGTCTGGGGGTGCTGAGCCTGGGGGTGCTGAGCCTGGGGGTGCTGTGCCTGGGGGTGCTGAGCCTGGAGGTGCCGAGTCTGGGAGTGCTGTGCCTGGGGGTGCTGAGCCTGGGGGTGCTGCGCCTGGGGGTGCTTTGCCTGAGGGTGCTGTGTCTAGGGGTTCTGAGCCTGGAGGTGCTGTGCCTGGGGGTGCTTCGTCTCGCCGGGAGCCACTCTCCCCACAGGAGCTGCGTGAGTGGTTTGCCAGGCGCTGGAGGCGTGCTGCTGGTGCGGATGGTTCTTCGGCTGCAGAGGGTACTGCTGCCGCGCGTCCCGCCGGTGCTCGTACTGTGGGTGCTGGAGCTGCTGGGTCTGAGGGTTCTCCTGGAGCTGGTCCTGCTGAGGGTGTTGGCGCTGAGCCTGCCGTTGGCGGTCCGACTGACAGTGCTCCTGGTGCTGCGGCTGGGGGTTCTGGTGCTGCTGGAGGTGCTGCTGGAGTGGGTGCTCCTGCCGGGGCTGCTGGTGCTGTTCCTGCTGTTTCTAGCGTCGCCGCGCGGCCCCGACCGTACTTCGTTCCGCTCCTGCAGCAGGTTCTTGGTCTTACACCTCCTCCTCCTCCCTTAGAGGGTCCGCAGCCTGTCCGCTCACAGCCACAGCTACAGCCTGCCTCCCCTTTGCCTGCTCCTTCTCCCTACGCTGGTCCGACTGGAGGTCTTACTGAGCGTGGTGAGCCTGCGTCTCGTCCTGTGTCGCCTGTTCGTACTGAGCGCGCTAGTGGTCGCGGGTCGCGTCAGCGTTCTCCTCCTGTCCCTGGCACGCACCGGATGTCACTGCGTCCGTCCACTGCTCCTCTGCGTGCCCCTTTGCCTTCTCCTCCTGCTTCCTCTCTTCCTGCTCTTGCCGACCCGGAGTCGGACTCTCTTCGTGCTGCCAGTCCTACTGTCACGCGTCTCCTGGCTACTGCTGTCACTGACCCCTCCTTCGAGTCGTCTGCTGCGTCTGCCCTTGTCACTGAGCTTGTCGACTTTGCTGCGCGCTGTCGTCTAGACTACGCTGCTCGTCTTGTCACTGAGTCTGAGTCCGCCTGTCCTCCGTCCGTCGGGGGTGAGTGTGCCCTTGGCACGGACGTCCTTGAGGACAGGCAGGAGGAGTTCCAGTGTCTGGCCGCCGCTTCACCTCGTCTCGCGTCTGTACTGCTAGCCCCTGAGGGAGACCCGGATGCACCAGACATCCCGACTCCGCGCTCTTACGCGGAGGCGATAGAGGGTCTCTACTCCTCTCAGTGGCAGGCAGCTATGGATGCAGAGATGGCTTCCTGGAAGTCCACAGGCACCTACGTTGACGCTGTTCCCCCTCCTGGGGCGAACATCGTCAGTGGCATGTGGATCTTCAGGGTGAAGCGGCCGCCGGGTTCTCCGCCTGTCTTCAAGGCGCGTTACGTGGCTCGTGGCTTCAGTCAGCGGCAGGGGGTTGACTACTTTCAGACCTTCTCCCCCACCCCGAAGATGACCACTCTTCGGGTTCTGCTGCACGTTGCTGCTCACCGTGACTACGAGCTGCACTCTCTCGACTTCAGCACAGCTTTCTTGCAGGGCAGCCTGCACGAGGAGATCTGGCTGCGTCGCCCACCTGGCTTCACTGGGTCTTTCCCTCCTGGTACCCAGTGGAGTCTCCGGCGTCCAGTCTACGGTCTCCGCCAGGCGCCACGTGAGTGGCACGACACACTGAGGACTACGCTCGCGGCACTTGGGTTTGCTCCTTCCACTGCCGACCCGTCGCTGTTTCTGCGCACCGACACCTCTCTGCCGCCGTTCTACATCCTCGTGTACGTCGACGACTTGGTCTTTGCCACAGCTGACACTGCTGGACTCGCCTACGTGAAGTCCGAGCTGCAGAAGAGACACACGTGCACTGACCTGGGTGAACTGCGCAGCTACCTTGGCTTGCAGATCACCCGGGACAGAGCACGCCGCACCATTACCCTGACTCAGTCACACATGGTGCAGCAGGTCCTTCAGCGCTTCGGCTTCACGTACTCCTCGCCTCAGGCCACTCCTCTGCCTACTCGCCACTCGCTCTCAGCTCTGCCTTCGGATGAGTCCGTAGAGTCGAGTGGCCCGTTTGCAGAGCTTGTTGGCTGCCTCATGTACCTGATGACCTGCACACGACCTGACCTCGCATACCCTCTTAGCATTCTCGCACGCTTTGTTGCTCCTGGGAGACACCGACCAGAGCACATGGCTGCAGCGAAGAGGGTGTTGCGCTACTTGTGCAGTACGTCGGGCATGGGGCTAGTGCTTGGAGGGCGCAGTCCAGTGGTCCTCACTGGCACGCAGACGCTTCTTGGGCTGACGACCAGGCTACGCAGCGGTCGTCACAGGGTTACACCTTCAGCCTTGGTTCCGGCTCTGTCTCGTGGCGGGCTACCCGCTCGTCTTCTGTTCTCGGCTCCAGTTGTGAGGCTGAGATCTACGCTGGGGCTATGGCTGCACAGGAGTTACGCTGGCTCACCTACCTGCTGACCGACCTTGGAGAGCAGCCTCGTTCTCCTCCAGTCCTGTACGTAGACAACAAGGTCATGCTGGCCTTGTGTCGAGAGCAGCGACTGGAGCACAGAACGAAGCACATTGCTCTTCGCTACTTTCTTGCTCGTGAGCTACAGCAGCGTGGACAGCTGCGACTTGCGTACGTGGCCTCTGAGGCCAACACTGCTGATGTCTTCACCAAGGCACTTGCGCCTTGTGATCATCAGCGTTGCTGCACGCAGTTGGGTCTTGTGCCTGTCTTGCCTCACTTGCTCTCCTCTTGACCTTGCTTGTACCTTCGCATATATATACTCTTGCTCTTGCTTGCTTGACTCTTGTATACCTCTATATATGATCTTGCATGTGAACTGGCCTTGTGGCCCTTGAACTTGTGCTCGGAATGTGTGGTGACTTTGTGATCCACCCTGAGCTTTGCTTTGCTTTGCTTGACTGGTCTTGTGACCCCTTGTTCTCCCCCACTTTGCCTATGGGGGTGTGTCAGAACATTATAGCTTACTTATTTGTGTAGGCTATAGTGGGGTAACCCATAGGGGGTACAACCCAATTAGGGTTTTATATTTGTACTCACTTCATTCATAGTTCATTCATTCTCGTTCAATTCTTCTCACTGGCCTCTGCCTGAGACTTGCGAGTAGAATTTTCAACTACTTGGATGAGGCTGCATATTTGTTCCACGGTTTGTAACAACCACTATCCTCCTGTACATGGTTAAGGGTTAACGCCGTGAATCTTGACCAACAGTCTCGAGGAGCCTAGATTGGTGCATTAATTTAAGTTTTTTTTTTGGAATCACACTATCCGGTATTCCAGTTTCAAATACAAGCATTCTTTAATTTATGTTTCACTCTTTGCTCTTACGGCCCTCTAATGGATATGGTAATGTTCAAACCTTTGCAGTAGATCAACGGTAGTGAGGATCCTTATCTCCGGCTCATCGGTTCGACACCCAACCGAACCGCTATTCTGTGGCGAATAAGAACTGTGGTTGCGGAGAAATCCCGCCGAGGATGAAGGTGGAAGCGGAAGCCTCGCTGACTTACTACTGTTCAAAGCTGGCATTGGTTGGTCGCACGCTTTTGCCACTCGTGATGAGTGGCTCCCCCAATTGCTCAAGAGGGCCGCTTCGGCTCCGAGAACCCAAGCCGCGGTGCGGGGCGCTTGAGGCAGCCTTTGATGCACACTTGCTCGCATGTGGCTACGTGGTGTTTAGCTTTCGTGAAATGTGTGTCGTTTTATTCGTTACAAGGTCGCCGTACTCTGTTTCAGAGAATCTGACCATTGAACTAATTAGAGCAGCTCTCGCAAATGTCTTCTGTCCCACGATTGATACACAGGGTATCTATGGTCTCTTCGCCAGCCTTATGGGTTGTCGAATCGCTTACTCTTCGCGGCTCGGTTTGCGATCCGAGGGGGAGCAGCTGGCATTGACCCAACACAATTCCTCTGTGGACTCCCACCCTCCTGCCTTGCTTCGTCCATGTGGTTTGGGGTTTCTGCATGGCCTTGCTTCCTCCTAATCCCTTCCCTCTGTCCCTCACCTCGCCTCGCTGCTCTCCACTGACCTTGCGCCTAAGAAAACCATCAGCTACTACGCTGTCTCCCCTCAAAACTCTTCTGCAAAACAAGATTTTTCGTCTCATTTCACACTCCTGCCTAGAATACACGGCTGTTTTCTTGCTCTCAACTATCATCCTTCCTCAGCGGTCGGCTTTAGAAAGACTACTTACTAGGCTCAGTGCAGTTTGTGCCTAATATTTCAATTCATTCTTTGACACTCTGGTGGCCGGTTTTCGGAGCCCCAATATACCTCTAGAATTGCGCGAAGGACCCAGAAAGACGCTAAGAAGGTCCGCATATTCGAAGGTGCCTGACGTAATTGGCTCATCGTCACAGTTTTGCCCACTTGGCCGCCTTACCTTCCTTCACAATTTCTCTTAGAGAAATCTCGGAGCATGTTTTCAGCCCCAGAAACCCGTTTCATATTGCGGGATTAGCACGTTATCGGTAGTGACACGGCGGCCGCCTTCCTTCCTCCTCCTGACACCCAGAAAGGGTTAATTATCTCTCTCCTCCAATCTAGCCCTGCTAATTGGTTTCCGTGTCTCACCAGCACCCATTGGTTTGAATCCTGAACGCGACATGGATCCGCTCGATCAAGGCTCCGACCCGGCGATACCAGCGAGAGGGAGCAGACCCGGTAGCCGCGGGGGGAGCCGGCCTGGCAGTCGTCCCGGCAGTCGTCCGGGTAGCCGGCCCGGCAGCTTAAGCGGCAGCCCGCGCCACTCACGGAGCCGATCCAGCGTGTCTATTGGAAGCGACAGCTATGGCACGCCTGACGGCTCTCCAACATCTTCTTCCGCCGCGGCTTCGCATCGCGCGAAAATCAGCCCAGAGCGCCGACGAGGCGCAATTGCGCGCGACACGGGCCATGCCATGGCGGGGAGTTCACGTCCCTCGTCGTCCGCGTCTTCGCGCCACGCACGGCTGGACCGACCGCCGCCACTGGTGCGACCAATCAACGACCCAGAGGGGCCTGACGTGGAACTGGAGAGCCCCACGTCAGACGACGAAATCACCGATGCGGACCTGATTGCCTACTCTTCCGGCCCGCGACCGCTGCAGCCAACTACCTCGGGAATACCGTCGTCTCCGCCTCCTCTTCTCGCCGACCCGCCCATCGTACCCGGCGGCGATTATTTCTTCGGCCGGCCCAGCTCTATCAGTTCAGCAGACGGAGGCTCGGCTTCTGGCGGTGGGGGTCTTAAGTTCCCCCGGTTGAGCGGGCGCGGAGGACGGCCGGGAGCGAACAAGCCAACGCTCGTCATCCCGCCTGTGATGATCGACGGTGTGACGGTCCCGTCGCCCTCGCCGCAAGAAGCGTCGCCCGACCCGGAAGATATGGCTCCGTCGCCCGCGCCGCTCTTCCACTGGCCGTTCGCGACCAACATGCCGATCATCTCGCCAGGTTTCACGCATCAATCCGCGCAACAGCAGGCCCCCGGTTCCGCCGGGTTCACTCGCGGTGCGGCAACGCGCGCGGACGCGCTTGCGGCGGCCGCCGCCATTGTCGCAGGACTCGGGGACGACACGATCGAAGGCGGGGGACCCATCGCTGCGCCGCCAACGCTTCCGCGGACGCTGTCGCGGGAAATGTCGCGCGAGCTTTCACGCGGACTGTCCCGCAGCGGCGGCGGCGGCGGAGGCGGCGGCGGCGGGATGGGGGAAATGGGCGGAGGGCTGCAGCGGCAGCTTTCGCGTGCGCTATCGACGGAACTCTGGGATATTCCTCTTTCCACGGTGCCATCAATCTTCTTCTCCGCCACTCCCCGCCGCCAAGCGCCCCCGCCGCCGCCAGTGAACATAGGCGCGACAGTGGTGGCTGACAGCAGCAAGGCGCAAGTGAGTAGCGCACTCCGCGGAGTCCGGTTACCACCCTGCTGTCAGCCCGTGTGAACGGTTCCAGACTCTGTCGCTTCTCAGCATCCTTTCCTCCGGTTCCCGCTTCCTCTCCTTCAATCCTCATCCCCCGTTCTCCTTCTATCACCCTCTCGACCCCTCGACTGCATGAGCAGAATAATTGGTCCGTGACGCTCTGCGGCTCGTGCGGGCGTCACTCCACGTGTCTGTGCGTGGAGGCCGTGCTGTGCCCGTGCATCACGGTGGGCCGAGTCGCAGTCGCCGTCGATCCCGCCTCCTACTCGCACTGCGGAGCGTCCACGTGCTTCTCGCTGCTCTCCTGTATCTTCTCCTGCCATGTGCGTGTGCTCTACATCGTCTCCGCCTCACTTCCTCCCCCCTCCTATTCCTTCCTCTTCCTTCCTCCTCCTTCCTCTTCCTTCCTAACCTGTCTAATCCTCCCTTCTTCTGTCTCCTCTACTCTTCTCCCTAGTTCTTTCTCCGCTTTACCCCCTCTAACCTCCCATCGCCCCCTCCCTTCTCTCGGCACTTGTCTGTTCCAATCTCTCTCGTTCTGCCACTCCGTATTTCCCTCATCCTCCCCCGTCACTCCATCCGTTTCCCCCTCGCTCCCTTCCGTCCCTTCTGCCTTCCCCCCTTAACCTCTTCCCCTCTTCCGCCGCTCCGTTTCCTATTTTCCTCTTCCCCCTGCCTTCCGTCCTTCCCCTGCGCGCGCACAGCTCTACTCCGCGACCCTGCGCAACAAGGTGCGGGCCAAGTACGCCATACAGGGCTCCGCGTGCGGGGACTGCTGCGCGCACTGCTGCTGCCACGCCTGCGCGCTCATGCAGGAGCTTCACGAGCTACAGGTGCGCCCCCCCGCATCCCCCGCACCCACTCCCGCGTCCTTGGATGCTTGTATGCCGCTCACTGGATGCTTCTCTGTCGCGCAGTCAGATAGACCTCCGAGCCCGTTCAGCTCATTCCGCCTGTTTCATCTCGTTCTACATCACAGTCCTCCTCCTACAGGCTGCTCTCCTGATACGTCCATGCCAGCATGTTCTTGCATGTGCTTACAGGTGTCTCCGTCTGTCTCGTGTGTGTGAATTGCCCGCACTTTTCCCTTCTGAATTCCATCCATCCATTTCTCCTCGTCCAGCAGAGAGACATCCGGCCGGCCAATTGCTAACATAAACTCATGTGTCTTAAGCATCTGTCCCTGTGCTATGGAGACTCGCTGATGACTCTTTCATGTACTGGCCTCCCAGATTCTCTCTGTCACTGTCCTAATTACCCTCCTATTCTCCCTTCTGTGCGTTTCTGCCCTCTCTCTTCCTTGCCTCCCCCTCCCACGCACCCGTTCACTTCCTCCCTCATCACTTCCTCCCTCATCACTTCCTCCCTCATCACTTGCTCCCAACCAATCCGTCTCTCTCTGCTCTTCTTCCGACAACCATGTCTCTGCCTCAACCTCTCTGCCTCTCACTCTTGTCACTCTTTTTGTTCTGCCTCACTCCCTGTTCACTCCTCACTCTCCGCTTACATCTCAACCTCTTTGTGTCTCTCGGCCTCTTTGCTTCTTATTATCTCTGCCTCTCTCTCCTCTGTTTTCACTCTCTTCGTATTTCTCAACCTCATTGTTGCTCTCTTTGCTTCTCGTCGTCTCTCTCTCTCTGTCCTCACCCTCTCTCTCTTTGATCCTCACCCTCTCTCTCTTTGATTCTCACCCTCTCTCTCTTTGATTCTCACCCTCTCTCTCTTTGATTCTCACCCTCTCTCTCTTTGATTCTCACCACTCTCGTTGATTCTCACCACTCTCGTTGATTCTCACCACTCTCGTTGATTCTCACCACTCTCGTTGATTCTCACCTCTCTCTTTGATTCTCACCTCTCTCTCTTTGATTCTCACCCCTCTCTCTTTGATTCTCACCCCTCTCTCTTTGATTCTCACCCCTCTCTCTTTGATTCTCACCCCTCTCTCTTTGATTCTCACCCCTCTCTCTTTGCTTCTCACCCCTCTCTCTTTGCTTCTCACCCCTCTCTCTTTGCTTCTCACCCCTCTCTCTTTGCTTCTCACCCCTCTCTCTTTGCTTCTCACCCCTCTCTCTTTGCTTCTCACCCCTCTCTCTTTGCTTCTCACCCCTCTCTCTTTGCTTCTCACCCCTCTCTCTTTGCTTCTCACCCCTCTCTCTTTGCTTCTCACCCCTCTCTCTTTGCTTCTCACCCCTCTCTCTTTGCTTCTCACCCCTCTCTCTTTGCTTCTCACCCCTCTCTCTTTGCTTCTCACCCCTCTCTCTTTGCTTCTCACCCCTCTCTCTTTGTTTCTCACCCACTCTCTCTTTGTTTCTCACCCACTCTCTCTCTGCTTCTCACCCACTCTCTCTCTCTGCCTCTCACCCCTCTCTTTGTTTCTCACCCACTCTCTCTCTGCCTCCCACCCTCTCTCTCTCTCTTCTTCTCGCCCTCTCTCTCTCTCTTCTTCTCGCCCTCTCTCTCTCTCTTCTTCTCGCCCTCTCTCTCTCTCTTCTTCTCGCCCTCTCTCTCTCTCTCTTCTTCTCGCCCTCTCTCTCTCTCTTCTTCTCGCCCTCTCTCTCTCTCTTCTTCTCGCCCTCTCTCTCTCTCTTCTTCTCGCCCTCTCTCTCTCTCTCTTCTTCTCGCCCTCTCTCTCTCTCTCTTCTTCTCGCCCTCTCTCTCTCTCTCTTCTTCTCGCCCTCTCTCTCTCTCTCTTCTCGCCCTCTCTCTCTCTCTCTTCTTCTCGCCCTCTCTCTCTCTCTCTTCTTCTCGCCCTCTCTCTCTCTCTCTTCTTCTCGCCCTCTCTCTCTCTCCTTCTCGCCCTCTCTCTCTCTCTCTTCTTCTCGCCCTCTCTCTCTCTCTCTCTTCTTCTCGCCCTCTCTCTCTCTCTCTTCTTCTCGCCCTCTCTCTCTCTCTCTTCTTCTCGCCCTCTCTCTCTCTCTCTTCTTCTCGCCCTCTCTCTCTCTCTCTTCTTCTCGCCCTCTCTCTCTCTCTTCTTCTCGCCCTCTCTCTCTCTCTTCTTCTCGCCCTCTCTCTCTCTCTTCTCGCCCTCTCTCTCTCTCTTCTTCTCGCCCTCTCTCTCTCTCTTCTTCTCGCCCTCTCTCTGCTTCTCACCCTCTCTCTCTGAATCTCGCCCTCCTCTCTGTTATGCTTCTCACTTTTTATTTTTGCTCTCACCCTCAATTCCGGGCCCTCTCGTTTCGCCTTACCCTCTTCAACATTTTCTAATCGCCACTCCCTGATTTGCATTGTTGCTTCCACTTTGTCTCTTGGACCTCACCTTTAAAACCTACGCTGCTGTACCTGGATTTTCCATCCCGATACCTCCGTGGCATCGCCCGGTTTTTGTTTGGCTGCTGCTCTCCACGCTCCTCCATCCCTCCCTGTGTGCTGTTTTCTCTCCTTTCCTTTTTTCTTTCTCTATCTCGTCTTCCCTAATAAATATAAAATATCATTCTCTCCTGCTCCTACTCCCTTTCCCTCAATGTCTTATTCCTTGGGATTCCGAAATGATCACCTGCGCTCTGTTTCTCGTTTTCCCTTCTCTTCCTACAACCCTACCCTTCCTCTTGTTCCACTGATCTTTCTCGCTGGTGGATCCTCAATCTTCGTTGTCTACACATTATTTTATTATTTCCTCCTTCACTCGCACACGTCACATGTTCTGTGCACGTGTTTCTTCGCACCACTCGCCTCTACTGCTCCTCTCTTCTGTTGCTTCGCTCTCCTCCGTTCTCCTTCCGCCCCTTTTCTTTGCCCTCTCTCTCTCTCTCTCCTCTCTTGTTGTATCCTCCGCTCCCCATTCTTTTCTTTTCCCCTTTTCCTTCTCCTTCGCCTTCCCTTACCCTTCTCCTCCCCCCTCCCCCTCACTCTCCACCCTGCTCTCCACTCCGACCTCTACCTCCCCTTCCCCTCCTCCTTTCCTTCTGTATCTCCTTTCCCCTTCTGTTCCTCCCCTCCCTCTCCCCTCCCTCCCCCTTCCTGCGCTGCTCCCCCTCTGCTACCCCCTCCACCTACATCCACGCGCACCATCCATCACCACGTGTCACCACATGTCACCTCATGTCACACACGAGCAGGTGCACGGAGATGCGCCCTTCCAAGGAGGCAATTCCAAGAAAGTGGCGCCAGTTGAGCAGACCATGCGCCGAGTCACCTCCATCCCCGGCTGATCCCACCACACCTCACGCATCACCTCTGCAATCCTCTCCCCATCCCTTACTCCTCCTCTTCCTCCTACTACTAGCCCCCCTCCTCCTCCTCCTCCTCCTCCTCCTCCTCCTCCTCCTCCTCCTCCTCCTCCTCCTCCTCCTCCTATCCTAACCTGCCATGCCACCACCATGGAAATCACTGGTCCGTCCAGATGAAACCACCAGCACCTTCCCCCCCCCCCCCTCACCCCATCCCAGCCTGAGACTCTCTAACATCCTTCTCCTAGTCACCCGCCCCTGCCTCAAGCAGTCTCCTCTCTCACTCTTGTACTCTATAGCCCTGCAAGTGGGTTCTGAAGAAGCGGCTCGCCGGGGCAGCAGGCAGCAGCAGCAGCAGCAGCTGTGCAGGGCACGGACCATGTTGAAAAGGAAGGCGTTCTGGTGGACTTTCAGGGGAGAGCACCAGCACTCTTCTGCTGCGGCTGTTGCCCCAAAATAAGCTCTAGTACGAGCCTCTGCCGGAAACACCAAGCCCCTTCTTCCGTTGCTTTCCTCCCAGCCTAGGGTTTGTTCGCCTTTTGGTTGTCACGACATTGTGGCATGGTTTCTAGATTTTGCAAAAGCCTGGGTATGTATGGTGACTATCTGGAAAAAAGGCATTTTGCACAACTGTAATTCTGACTTTCGATCTCGGTGGGATTGGTCTATTCATCTAGCACCTAAGGAGGGTGTATCGTACCTGTCCAGTGAAAGAATCAATAAAAGATCAACTACTGAAGTCCGCAGTACATCAGTATAAACTGAAATCCGAATACAAAGATTCTGATGAATGGAAAACAAACTACGGTAGTTTAACACGGGTGTAGCAATATCAGATCACACTGTAACATATAGATGCTGGAGGAAATGAATCCTCCAACTCCCTAAGAGAGCTGACTCATTCGACTGCCAACGTTTTGGTGTGCACATCAGTGAAAGATACACGTCACACCAGATCTTATCATCTGATTGGCGAGAGCAGGGTTTTTTTTCCGATTTGTACAATACACACACAGGAGGAAACCAGGGTACTTCAGGCATGTAACAAAAGGGTGTGATTATCACCATACATTCATTGTGCTTATGCAGAAGATACAAAAATCAATTGAATCACACCCATGATCACCGACAGATCGATTGCCACCTGCGAAAGAACCAGCAGCACCAAACTCGCGGATGTGACCAGATTCAAGATCAAGAGTGCCTGCAATGCAGTGGCGTGCACCACATGCCTCCACTCCCCATCATCTCTGCTCTGCATATGCCATGCCGCACCATGGCATGGTTATGGGGCACAACGAAGGGGCGAGTGCAGGGAAAAGGTGTGCCACTCTCACCATCCCCGCCACACTCCCCACTTCTACCCTCCCCCACTCCCCCCTTCTCTCCTCGCACCCCTCAGCTCCCCTTACCAGCTGATCACCATCCTGTTAGTCTACCACCTGCCCCTCCAGCCCTCCCCGCCAACTCCCTTTCCTCCCCTCCCCGTCATGGCTGGAGCCACAATCTCTAAGAGGCTGGCGAAGCGAGCCTTCACACACTGCTTCTGGAATGAGCGTTGGATCGCTGTCTCTCCTGCCTCATGGCCTCTCAACCGCCGCCTGACTAGCTCCATTCCATGCCAAGGCCGCCACTGTCCCCATGCCATGGCAGAGCTGTCACTGTCCCCATGCCATGGCAGAGCTGTCACTGTCCCCATGCCATGGCAGGTCAAGGGATTATAACCCCATTTCCTTCCACACTAATGCCCCAAAACTGTCAGCCTCTTTCCTTCTCAATCACTCACCCAAGGGAGGTCCCTTGGGTCTCACGCACCCAACACATGGGCTTCATCCCCTTCTCATTCACCTATTCCAGAGGGTTTCACCCCCTTTTCTCTCACTCACCTACCCAAAGGGTTTCATCCCCTTCTCATTCACCTATTCCAGAGGGTTTCACCCCCTTTTCTCTCACCCACCTACCCAAAGGGTTTCATCCCCTTCTCATTCACCTATTCCAGAGGGTTTCACCCCCTTCCCTCTCACTCACCTACCCAAAGGATTTCATCCCCTTATCTCTCACTTACCTACCCAAGGGGTTTCAGTCCCCTTCCCCTAATGACATTCAGCCCCTTTCTTTCTCGCACACCCAACCGAGGGGTTTTTGCCCCCTTCCCTCTCACTCACCCACCCCAAGGGGATTCAGCCCCCTTCCCTCTCAACCACCCAACCGAAAAGCTTCGGTCCGCGTCCCTGCCACTCACCCACCCAAGGGGATTCGGACCCCACTCACCCACCCAAGGGGTTTCAGGCCCCACTCTCCCACCCAAGGGGTTTCAGGCCCCACTCTCCCACCCAAGGGGATTCAGCCCCCACACTCCCACCCCAGCGGTTTCAGCACCCCCCTATACCCAGCCCCTCTCCACCACTATCTGCCAGCAGTAGGCACAGCAGACAGCCCATTGCCTCAGGAAAACCATGCCATCTCACCAAATACTCAGATACTCCCGGCATTCAATCTCACCACTCACTCAAAATAACCACTATTGCCACAGTCTCACTAATCCCACCACACACTATCACCAGTACCACCACGCACTCCCACCCCTCGCACCACTCACTGTCGTACCACTCACCGTTACCACTATCACCACTCTCACCACTCACTGTTACTACTCTGACCACACACATCACTCACTCTCATCATTCGCTTTCGACCCGCACACCAACATACTATTACCACTCTCAACACCCACTCTCACCATTTGCAGCACTCCCACCACCCACTCATCCCACACTGTATCACACCACACTGTATCATACCACCCAGTATAATATAGCATACTGCATCATGAATCACTGCCTCTTACAACACTGTATTATACCCCACTGACTTACCATACCACTCTGTATACTACCAGACTTTATCAGACCACGCTGTGTCATACAATACTGTATCATACCACACAGTATCATACCACATTGTGTCATAACATACTATATCAAACCAACACACTGCATCATACCACACTGCATCATACCACACTTCATAGTACCAGACTGTATCAGACCGCACTGAATATACCACACTCCATACCACCCTCTTTCATACACACGCCATATCATACCACGCTAAATCATACCCCAGTTTCATACCACACTGTATCGTACCACACTGTATCATACAACACTGCCTGCATCAAACCACACTGTGTTATATTACACTGTAGCATACCACACGGTATCATACCACACTGTATCATACCACACTGTATCATACCACACTGTATCATACCACACTGTATCATACCACAGTGTATCATATCACACTCTATCATACCACACAATATCACACCACCCACCACACACCACCACCCCTTGCCCAAATGCCCAGCCCCTTCCCCACCTTAACTTGACCCACAGTAGGAGCAGCAGACAGCCCAATTCCTTTTGGAAACAGCACACCCAAAGGCTGTGCCTTGCAGTGCGAGGAGTGGTAGTGGAAAATTGCTTCCAGCCCAAGACTCAAATCCCACCCCTGACGTGGCCAGAGCTGACGCGAACCAGAGCCGCCGGCCGGTCGGCTAAGACGGGGTCCATTGGGCCTTGAACGCCAGATCGGTTATTTGAGCACCGAGTGCCGTGCCGCACAGATTCCACCCACCACACCCCGACACACAAGCCACAACCCCAGAGGATGCTGCCCCTAAGGCAGTGAGCTGCCCACTTGCTCCCATGCTCCCCACCCACCCTCATCCCTTCACCCCATGCCTCCTTACCTGTACCTACCATAGCCGTTCAGAGCGCCATGATGCCAAGGCTGCTGGGAAGTGGGAGGAGGAGGAAGGGAAGGGCGGGGGGAGATTAGAGAAGGAATGCCTCTGTATCGCCCTTGCTCCAGTGCTCCCTCCCTCCTTCAGACTACTAGAAGGGGAGGGGGGGAGAAAGAGAGAGGAGGGAATCAGACAACGCACCTGTTACCATACCTCACCGGATACCATACCTCACCTGATACCATACCTCACTAGTGACTCGACCTAACCTAGTCCGCCCCCTAGCCCCCCAACCCCCACTGCTGCTGCTGCTCCAAGTGCTGCTGCCGGTCTGCTACTCAGCTTCATCTGCTACAGTCTTCACTCCACGCCAAGTGACCTGGTGGGGGGGGGAAGAAAGGGGCAAGTGAAAGTAATCGAGTCGGGATGACCAGAGGAAGAGCAAATAAAACTGCAGCTGACGAAAACGAAAAAGGCAGAACTGAAGAGCAGAAAGGGAGCGAGATGAGGGCAATAGTTGAGGTGGCGTACCTTGAGAGGCCAAGCCCACCCCGATGCTCTCCCTTGGTGCAGCGATTGGCAGTGCTGCCTCCCTCCCATCCCCACGGGTACCTGCACGGCCACGGGGGAGGGGCGTGGGGAAGCGTCGGTGTTGACCCCCGCCCCTCCCCTCCACCTGCAAGGCACACACGCAGAGCTGGTCAGTGGCCAGCGAGGGGATGAATGGTGAAAGTGCAAGAGAGGGAACGGCATTTGCAAGGCGGGAGAGGGGAGGGGCCACTGGTGGAGGCCAAGTCACAAACTGCAGACCCAAGGGCTGCACCTGAGGGGGTACCTGCACACTTGCACCTGAGGGGGTACCCGCACTTGAGAGGGTTACCTGAAGTGAGGGGGTCTGCACTGCAGCATGTGAGGCGGTCCCAACCAGTGGCACTGTTTCAAGAGGAAGGTGCGAAAGCGCATGCAAACACGAGATGCCAGCAAAGTACACAAGACATGGCGAGGCAGGCAAGGGGTTGAGGGAACTTAGCTGTAAGTGAGAGCGAGCAGAGGGCAGCTGCAGCAGCACCAGGTGACTCCTTCCCCGGCAGCCCTCCTCCCAGCCTTCCCGTGTGCGTCCCTCTCTGCACGGCCGCCGGGGAGAGGCGTGAGGGAATGGCGGTGCTGACCCCACACCCCTCCCCCCCACCTGCAAGGCACACACGCAGAGCTGGTGAGTAGGTAGCGAGGGGACGAAGGGTGAAAGTGCAAGAGCAGAGCATGCAAGGCAAATGAGAGGGGGAGAGGCCACTGGTTGAGGCACAAGCACAAGGCACAGACCCCCAAGGGGACCTGAGGGGCTGTAAGACTGTAGGGGGGCTGAACCTGAACCTGAACCTGAACCTGAACCTGAGGGGTTTACCTGGAATAAGAAAAGGGAGGTCTGTGGCTTGCAAGTCATGCCCCAACCAGCGGTGGGATTTGACAGAATGGAAAGAAAGAAAAGAAGCAGAACCCAAATCAACTGAAAGCACTTGAGAGGCAAGGCTGAAGGAGGCGAATGACTTAGCTGAGAGTTGGAGCAGTGGTGGTGCAGGCGGAGGGGGTGCGCTGATGCAGAGAGGGCGCGGCGAGGGGGGGTTGAAAGAAAGGACCTGCGAGGCAGAGGAGGGGGAGAGAGAGAGTTAGTGCGTGGCAAGTGGGAGGGAGCGGCCGTTGCAAGTGAGAAGAGCGCCTGGCAGCAGTGCGAGTGCAGAAACGACAGTGCATGTGATGCCGCCCACAGCCCCACAAGAGCCCTACCAACCTGAACCTGAACCTGCACCTGCACCTGCACCTGCACCTGCACCTGAACCGGGGGGGAGTGGGGCCCTTGTGGAGTGTGGTGGCAGGGGCGATACTTGCAGCCTCAACCATTGATGAGGCCGGCGCTGCTGCCCTGCTGCCCGCCCTCCTGCTGCCCGCCCCTCGCTTGCTGCTTGACTTGCGCTGGGCTGGCAGGAAGAGCGGTGAGGGGGGGCAGGAGGGGAGGGAGGAGAAGGTGTGGGGAGCATGGAGGAATGAGTTGAAGTCCAGGAACAGGAGGTGGGTGGGAGTGACGAGTGAGAGTCGAAATTGGTGATGCGTGCGTGATGTGGGTATGATGTGAGCATGAGCATGAGCATGAGCATGAGCATGAGCATGCGTACAGCCAGCCAGGGCGATTACACTGCAGAGCTCAGACGGACGGACGGACGGACGCAGGCAGACGGACGGACAGCTAAGCAGGACGCCTGACACTGACGAGACGCCTAGCTGATGCTAACCCACACCTAGGGGAAGAGACAGGGAGGTCTGCAGGTTCGCCTTGGGCTGGCATTGAGTGGCGTGGCGTGTGCAATGAGCAATGGAGAGAGGAAGGGACGCGAGGCGAGGCGAGGGTACTTATCTGCGCGCAGGGGGAGAGGCAGCTCCATGGCGAGTGGAATGGCGAATGGGGTGGGACGTCCAGCGGTGGTGCTTGCAATGCGAGTGAACGCCACGTGCTCTCTTCTGCCTCGCTGCCTTGCTCACGTGCCACCCACTGCTGCCTTCCAGCCGCCTGCTGATTCCTGCGTAGAAACACAGAGAGTGGGAGAGTGTGTTCCTGCACAGAAACACACAGAGTGGGAGAGTGTGTCCCTGCACAGAAACACAGAGAGCGGGAGAGTGTGTTCCTGCGCAGAAACACAGAGAGTGGGAGAGTGTGTTCCTGCACAGAAACACAGAGAGTGGGAGAGTGTGTTCCTGCACAGAAACACAGAGAGTGGGAGAGTGTGTTCCTGCACAGAAACACAGAGAGTGGGAGAGTGTGTTCCTGCACAGCAACACAGAGAGTGGGAGAGTGTGTTCCTGCGCAGAAACACAGAGAGTGGGAGAGTGTGTTCCTGCACAGAAACACAGAGAGTATTCAGAAGCAAGCTTCAAGGAACAATGCAATAGCTTCGACAACGTTTAAAGGACGGATCATGGACGAAACGCGTGCGATTGCGGAGAAATGACCTAATCTAACAAAAGTGTTGACGGCTTACCGCGGAATGGCGATGGAGGGAGCAGGCGAAGGGGGTGGTTGCTGCATGGCCGTGGGTGGGCGGATGGACGACGCGTGGCGAGCGGAGAGCAGCGGCAGTGGAGCCGCGCAGAAGGATGGCGAGTGCGATTTGAATGATGCACGATTCTCGCGAATTGCTTCATGCTTGACCTGAAACGGGACACGGATGTAATGTCAATCGCTGATCGATTAAATGTGCATCCTCGCGCGAAATTTCAGCAGCAACGACGTCGGATGACGGAAAATCGTCAATACGTCCGCGATCGATGGATTGAATCGGCTTCCGCGTGCCTAATCTGACGACGGATAGGAAATGTCGTGAAAATTGATGGAAGCGCAGCTGAAAGGGCTTCGGCGAAGGCTAGTTTGGTGTGACGAGAGTGCAGAAGAGGAGGCGACGACCAACTGGAAATGTGCACAACTGAACCACGAGTCGCAGACTAGCCAAACAGAATGAGCAGCGTAAACTAGCCGAGTTGAACGAGAACGGGGCAAAAGCTAGGAGCGAAAAGGAGAAATGGAGGTGCGGAATGCGGAGGGAGAGGTGGAGACAGCAGTTCTGGTGGGAGCGTGGCAATGCGCAAGCGAGAGTTGCGTTCGCATGCCCAACTTGGGCCCTTCCGGAGGGTGCGTGGAAAGCCGTTGCGACGAATATTTTCGAGCGCGAAAATGCGTAAATTCGAATTCGATCGACCGAGTCAGCAGCGCCTAAGCCACATGGCGGGCCGAAATCAACCCAGGGGGCTGAAGTGAGTGACGTGGGTTGCCTATCGATCCCAAACACTGCCAACTAAGCTCAGATATTCCTTGGGGGGTCACTAAGCTGTCGTGAGGGTCGAAAGAGCGCGTGAGGAGGTGGCTCAAAGGGGTAATTATCGCGGCGGGCCGAAGCCCAGAGGCTAAATGGCGAAAGTTGGATGAGAAGGAATGGCTTGCTGGTTAGTGGAGGCAGATCTGGCGGGAGGGAGGTGCTGGTGCCAGTGGGAGCAGAGCCGCTGGAATTCGGATCAGAGTCTCTGTAAGGAATTTTGCTAATTCCTTACTGAGGCACCGCTTACGCGTACATTTCCAACTTTCGGAGTTCAGGCTCGGTCCGTCGACCTCGCCTCCCGAACGTCTTCCGCGTCGCCTTCGGGTTTTCCAAACCCAAACCTACACCCAACCTTCGCGCGACTCCGCGACCTCGGCTTAGCTAGCTTTGCTATATTATGCCTAGGCCCCGTTGTTTGCTCAGTAGTTGTAATCACTTCCGCGATATTGCATTCTGCGCACTCTTCTTTCATACAACTCATAACACCTGGTATCAGAGCTACTTTCCTAGGTTACCCTCCACTTTCCGGGGTAGTTTAGTACAGGGGTGCGACAGGTTTGGTGGGCTGCAAAGCGGTCGGATGAGAGATAGACACGATTATCTCGCTTCGACTAATAGCGTTTGCGCCTTCATCAAAACCATACAAAATCGCTGTTAACCCCCTGCCCGTTAGACGAAGCCTGCGACACATGGATTAGGCGGAATTCAACGAGCTCATGCAACAGTTTCGGGCGATGCAGGCCAACATGCAGACTATGTCTGGCGAGTTGGAGCGCCTGAGGGCGGAAAACGCCGAGCTACGCCAGACGCGAGGTGAAGCGCGTCAGGAGTCGCCCGCCGTGGATGAAGCAAGTAGCAGTTTCGCGCCTAACGACGAGGTCCTCAGCGAGCTACAGAACTCGCTGGACGCTGAAGACGAGCGGACAGCAGGGATGCAACGGGCACAAGGGACGCAGGAACAACAATCACAGCCGAGGCAACAGTCGCAAACTACGCCACGACAGGCAACAGCGACAACCCCGGTGATGGCTTCAATGGCGCCCCCGATGCATGCAGCAGCAACAGTCTCAACAACTGTTAAAATAAAACCGACGAACCCGCCCCCGTTCAACCCCAGCGACAAAACCATCACTGTGTCGGCTTGGTTGTTCGGTGTAGAGGTGTTTTTCAATGCTGCACAAATTGCTGACGATGCTACCCGCATTAATTTTGCAGTGTCACTATTGCGAGGACCGGCGTTGGAGTGGTGGAAGCGGACTCTTCAGCCAGAGGGGGCTCCGGCAGGGACATCACGTGCGAACGACGGGACCTGGGCAGCTGTCACGCAACAGGCAACTTCAATCTTCGGAGTGGCCACGATACGCACATGGACGGAGTGGGGCGCCGCGCTGCGAAACAGATTCGAGCATGTATCCGCCTCGGATTCTGCTCGCATGAAGCTAAGTACCTGGAAGCAGGTGGCGTCGGTCCAAGATTACACGACAACATTCTGCAATTTGGCTGACCAAGTGGACGATATGAGTGACGCGGAGCGACTCGACCGATATGTCGCAGGCCTCAAGTACGAAGTACAGTACGAGGTGCGACGGGCGAGGCCACGTGTTTTTCTCGAAGCCGTCCAGGTGGCTGAATCGACGGATGCGCTGATGCAATGGGCGAGAATGAGTTCCCGTGAGGGCACTCAATTTCGTGGACCGCCGCGCCAGCCCACAATCAACGGGGTGGATGCACCGAGGCGTGGACCCAACACGTGCTTCAACTGCAACCAACCGGGCCACTGGAGGAAGGACTGCCCGAAGCTGAAACATGGAAACAGGAACGACGGAGAGGGGTCGGGAAAAGAGACGAGTCAGTAGCAGTCGGGCCACCTACTGACGCGACCCCGTCGCCCGGCAATCAACATCCACACCGAGTAGTGGTACCGATACGGGCTATCGACCGCAACCGGACGAATAAGGTGGATGACCACGTGGATCACCCTGTGCTGGTCGTGGGGAGGGTTAACAGGCATAACATAAAATTATTCGTTGACGGTGGGGCGAGCCACAGTCTCGTCAACCTGGCAACGGCAAAAAAAATTGGGGTCAAACTGGACAGGTGTCTACCCGAGATTGACGCGCGACTGGTAGACGGAACACCGCTGGCGATAAAAGACGAGGTCCGACAAATTCGGATGAAGTGTGGCGACGATTTCGGATTCTCCATGCGGATGCTGGCGACAGCACTGGACGGTTGCGATGTGCTGCTGGGAAGGGATTGGCTGCAGCGATTCAATCCGATCATCGACTGGACGACGGGGGCGATCACGGTGCCATGCAACAAGGGGCGCGTGACACTTCCGAAATGGGCGGAGCCGGAGCCGATGAGAACACGTGTCAATGCAATAACACTGAAAAGGGCGATCAAACGGGGAGCGCAAGGCTACGCCGTACAGCTGTACGAGGTGGTGGCTTCCAAAAAAATCGCCGACATCGACACGCTCTGCGCTGCTGTACCCTACGACGTGGCGAGCATAATTCAGAGGTACCCCGAAATCTTCGCGGATGACCTACCTGACGGGTTGCCACCTCAGCGTTCGGAAGACCACAGGTTTGAGCTGGAGCCAGGTGCAAAACCAACTGTTCGGTCCCAATGGCGGCTCAGCCAACCGGAGCTTGACGAATTGCAGAAACAGTTGGATTATCTGCTTTCTAAGGGTTTTATCCGGCCGAGCACGTCGCCGTACGCCGCCCCGATACTATTCACACCAAAGAAGGACGGAGGCCTGCGCATGTGCATCGACTACCGGGCGTTGAATCGGGTCACAATCAAGTCGCGTTACCCGATCCCACGAACAGATGACCTGCTGGACCAGCTTCGCGGGGCTCGTTTCTTCTCGAAAATCGATTTGCGAGGTGGCTACCACCAAATCCGTGTGTTCGCCGACGACCGCCCGAAGACTGCGTTCCGCACCCGCTACGGCAGTTATGAGTACACAGTGATGCCGTTCGGGTTGACGAACGCACCCTCGACTTTCCAGCTCACCATGAATGGGGTGTTCCGGAACATGTTGGACAAGAAGGTCATTGTTTACCTGGACGACATCCTGGTGTACAGCAAGACTCGGGAGCAGCATTTACAGGACTTAAACGAAGTGTTCCGACGCTTGCAGCAGAACCGGCTGATTACGAAGGGCTCTAAGTGCGAGTTCTTACGGTCGGAGCTGGAGTTTCTGGGGCACGTTGTCTCTTGGGAAAGCATTCAAATTGACCCCCGTAAAGTAAAGGCTATTTCGGAGTGGAAGCCGCCCTCGAACATCACTGAGCTGTAGAGTTTTCTCGGCTTCGTTAACTACGTCCGCCGCTTTGTACCCAATATGGCGGGGGTAACCAGGTCGTTAACCGATCTTCTGCATAAGGGCGTGCATTTTCTTTGGGGAAAGGGAGAACAGCTGGCTTTCGACGAGCTGAAGAAAATTTTGAGTTCACCCCCGGTGCTTCGTTTGGCAGATCCATCGCGACCGTTCGAAGTCGTGACGGACGCCAGCGATTTCGCCGTCGGCACTGTGCTACTACAGGACTTCGGCAACGGGCTGCAACCCATCGCGTATGAGTCAAGAAAAATGCAGCCGCCCGAGCGCAACTACCCGGTTCACGACAAAGAAATGCTCGCCATCGTGCATGCGTTTCGTACCTAGCGATGCTACCTCACGGGAGCTGATGTCACAATCCGAACTGACCACAAGTCATTACAGTACATGCGCAGCCAACCACAGCTCAACCCACGACAAATCCGGTGGCTCGACTACCTCGAATCCAATTTCCGCTACACCATCACATATAAAAAGGGCGCCAACAACATCGCCGACGCCCTGACCCGCCCATCGATGCAGACCGCAGCAGTACTAATCGCCCATTCTAACCCTTTATTGGCAGGATTATTCAAGCACGGCTACAAGATCGACAGATTTTTCAGAACCAACCAACACCACGGGGTCACTACACCGCATGGGAGTTACTACCTAAAAGTCGGTACTAACCGAGTTTGGGTACCTTCCTACCGACCCTTACGAGAATTGCTGACGCAGGAAGTACACGACTCCAACCTCTCCGGACATTTCGGCGTCGACAAAACGTTGAAACTGCTGCAGCGGAATTATTACTGGCCCGACATGGCGTCGGACGTGCAGCACTTCGTGTCCGCCTGTCCGACCTGCCAGGCAATGAAGTCATCACGACAACGTCCAGCTGGATTACTGCAGCCCCTCGTGCCACCCGAACGACCGTGGCAACAGGTGACAATGGATTTCGTTACGGGCCTCCCAGCTGGCGCAAGTGGCAACGACTCCGTGCTCGTGGTCGTTGATCGCTTAACAAAAATGGCGCATTTTGCACCCTGCCGTACCACGATCACAGCCGAAGAAACAGCAGGACTCTTCATCTCGACCGTCGTGCGCCTACACGGGTTACCTTCGGCGATCATCAGCGATCGAGACCCGAAATTCACGTCGAAGTTCTGGCAGGAGACATGGGCACAGTACGGTACCCGCCTGCAGTTTTCGTCGTCCTACCACCCGCAAACCGACGGACAGACAGAGAGGACCAACCAGACGATGGAGCAGCTGATCCGCACGAACTGCCCGGACATCACCAAGTGGGAAGATTCCCTTCCCATGCTCGAGTTTGTGTACAATAACGCCCCATCTGCAACGACCAAGCAATCACCCTTCTACCTGAATTACGGGATAGACCCGGTGGTACCCTCATCAACAACTCCCGACAACCCGGTACCCAGGTCACAGCAGTTTATTTCGGAACTCCAGGCCGCGCGTGCCAAAGCCGCAGATTTTATCCGAAAAGCGAATTCGGCCGCCAGCCGCTACGCTGACCAACATCGACGAAATTTACCTTTCCGCGAGGGGCAGATGGTTCTCCTGGACACCAAAAACCTCAAACTGCCCCAGCCCGCAAAACTGCGTCCGCGCTACGTGGGACCTTTCCGCATCATTCGGATGCTCACACCGGTCACTGCGAAACTTCTCCCGGACGACTGGCATATTCACGACGCCTTCCACGTCAGTTTACTTCGCCACTACGTGGCACCCCAGTCCTCCGACGTCGCTCGACCCTACCAGGCGCCAAGTGCCCGACCGGTGGCAGATCCCACGCTCCAACCTTGGAAGATATTGAATCATCGCATTCGTGCGACCCCCGCTGGCCGCCACGTCGATTTCCTACTACGATGGGTGGATCGCACAAGTGACGACGACACGTGGGTCCCGGATGACTCACTACAAGGGCACTCGGTACTTCGGCAGTATCTTTCTCGCCGACATGTGCCTGATGTTGACCACCTTTCTTGAAGGGGGGGGTAGTGTAAGGAATTTTGCTAATTCCTTACTGAGGCACCGCTTGCGCGTACATTTCCAACTTTCGGAGTTCAGGCTCGGTCCGTCGACCTCGCCTCCCGAACGTCTTCCGCGTCGCCTTCGGGTTTTCCAAACCCAAACCTACACCCAACCTTCGCGCGACTCCGCGACCTCGGCTTAGCTAGCTTTGCTATATTATGCCTAGGCCCCGTTGTTTGCTCAGTAGTTGTAATCACTTCCGCGATATTGCATTCTGCGCACTCTTCTTTCATACAACTCATAACAGTTTCGCTGGGTGGTGCTCTAGGGGATGGGCATTGCAGCAAATTCAGTTCGGTGCCTCGAGGTACACGACACAGGCGAATCTTGTGAAATTATTACATTAAAGACACCTTCAAATGGTAAGATGATGGTAATTATGTCAGTGGATCACTGACCTGAAATTTGCGGACTTAAATCATATTACCGTACAGTAACAAGGCATTGTGCCACGTTTGCATTCCAACTCGTTTGTGCAATGACTCCGTTTGAAACTCCAAAATTAGGTAGCCCGCAAGCGGATGTGGATGTGGAGCAGCCCAGGCAGCGCAACTGAAAATAACTACCGTAACTAAAAAGGTTATACATATGGAGGAACAGTAGGATAGGAGTATGAGACTGTAGCATGATTATGGATGTGAAAGTATGAAGGGGGAGGGGGAGGGGTGTGGGGGTGAGAGGGGCAAGGTATTGGTATCCGTAGAAATGAGATGCACCGATGACACTAGTGTAGCAAAGTGAATCGCATTATCGCTTGGTCATGAGAGTTGTGTCATTAACTACAGTTTTGTCTTCTCGCGTGCTGCTGCCTCTGCCTTCTCCCAATCCATCTGCATCCAATCACACGAACATACAAAAAGAGAGCAAAAATGTATTTACTTCGTCATCAGGTGCCTTCGCCGGGTGCTTGAAATCTGACAAAATAGACCATCACAAGCTGTAAAGAAGGCTAATACCGTGCCTTGCCTCGACATCGCTCATCCCTTGATCTCCAGATCATGCATACCGTGCTCTCCACATTACACACCAGCCCTTGCCCTCCACTCATACCTTGGCTCGCTCCATCTTCGAAACATGCTTCTTCAAAGTGTCGCCCAACCCCACACCACCCCACGCATCCACCATCCTGCCACTGCCTGCCTTCCCACCATTCCCAGCCTCTCCCACGCATTCCTTCAGCGCCCTTGCCTCCATCAGCTCCCTCTCCAGCCGTGACATCTTCTTCACTCCCTCTCCCAGCCCCAACCCCTGTTGCTGCTGCTGCTGCTGCTGCTGCTGCTGCTGCTTCTCAGAGTGCCTGTTTTCCACCCCTTCACCCACACCACCACTCTCTCGGCTACTGCCATCTGCATTCCCCTTCACGTTCTCATTCCCGTCCACCCCGCCTTCGCCATGTCCTTCACCAGTAACTGCAGCAGCATCAGTCGTTGCTCCCTCCCCGACCTGCTCTGCCCCTCCCTTCACTGCAGGTTTCTTCAGTACATCTGCAAGGCCACACCCGCCCCAGCCCGCGTCCACCACAGCGTTTCCACTCCCCCCCCCTGCTCTCTTGCTCCCGCCACCAGCACTATCACCGCCACCATCAACACCATCAGCACCATTAGCACCACCAGCACCACTATCAGCGCCAGTACCACCACCAGACCCTCCTGCGCCTCTCGCCCATGCTGCTGCCTCCTCCTTCTCCCGCTCCAGCCTGCTCTTATGCTTCACCAGCATCTCTCCCAGCCCAGGCACCGACCCCTCCTCCACCCTCTCCCTCCGCCCTCCCTTCGGCCCACCATCCACCCTACCACCCTCACCCGCCCCATTTGCCCTTACCACACTGCTACTACCGCCAGCCTGGCTTTCCCCCCACCACTTCCTCTCCTCCTCCATCTCTCGCTCCAGCTTGCTCTTATGCCGCACCACCAGCATGCTATCCAGCCCTGGGACTGACCCCACCTCCACCCTCTCCCTCCTCCCCGCCCCTTTCCCTCCCGCTGCACCGGTGCCTGTACCGTTCCCTCCAGTTGTCCCCCACGCCTGTTTAGCAGCCTCCGCCGCCTGCTCCTTCTCCCGCTGCAGCCTACTCTTGCCTTTCACCAGCATCGAATCCAGAGAAGGGACCGATCCCACCTCCACCCGCTCTCTCCTCCCCACCCTGACCCCATTTTTACTACCAGCAGCAGCAACACCACCGGCGCCACCAGCAGCACCAGGAGCAGCAACCCCTGCGCCTCGTCCTTGCGCCTTTCTCTCCGCCTCCCGCGCGGCAGCCAGCTCCCTGTCAATCCGCGAGACGTGCTTTATGCCGCTGCCCAGCCCCTCCGCTCCCCACCCCACGTTCACTCCGCTCACACTCTCCCCTCCCTTCTTCTCCGTCTTGGCCTTCCTCCTCTCCTCCTCCTCTCTCTTCCTCTCCTCCACTGCTGCAGCTTTCTCCCGCTCCAGTCGCGATAGCTTCTTCACCAAAATGCTCCCAAGGTCACCACTGCCACTACTAGTCCCCGCATCCCCCCCACTTGCTCCGCCACCTCCCCCCTCCTTACTCTGCGCCTGCTCCGCCTCCCCCGTTCCGCCTGCGCCCGCCACGCCCTTACTCTCTCCAACCTTCGCTAGCGCCGGCCCCGCGTCGCCCGTTCCGCCAATCTGAGACAGCGCGGCGAGCGACTGGCGGCGGGAGGCGGAGGCGGAGAACGACTGGCGGCGACCGTTCCGCAGCCCCTGCAGCAGCCCGTTCACCATTCCGCGCGAGGCCACGATGGCGGCTAGCGCCGTGCGGTGGTTGCGGTTGAGCGCAAGCACGCGCTCAGCGATCACTGCGGGGACGTTCATCTCCTCCTCCTCCTTCCCCGTCTTCCCCTCCTCCTTCCCATCCTTCTCCTCCTCCTTCCCATCCTTCTCCTCCTCCTCCCCATTCCCCGTCTTCCCAACCTCCTTCTCCTCCTCCTGCATTCCCGCTCCCGCTGTCACCGACCCTTCGCCCATCCCCCCTTCTTCCGCTCGCGCTTCGGCCGTCGGCTCCTCCGCTGCTGTCCCCTCTGCAGTCGCAGCTGATGCTGCCGCAACGGAGTTTCCTACTTCCAGATTAGCCTCCGTCGCTTCTTCCTTGCTAATCGCATCCCCCTGGGACTCATTCCCGTCAGACACCCCCTCCTCTTTCTCCACTTCCAGCTCTCCTGTTTCCCCCTCTGCGCCGTCCCATTCTCCTGCTTCTCCAGTTCCCACACCCTTCTCCTCGTCTGCCTCATTCCCATCTTCCCCCGTTCCTCCTCCACCGTCCCCTTTCTCAACCTCCACAACACCGCATTCCCGACCCAGTGCCTCCTCTTCCCCTTCCCGCTCCTCGCCCTCCTTCACCTCCCAGTCAACGAAGTCAACGATGCCGTCCGCCGCGCGGATATTCCCCACACGGGACAGCGCTTTCATTACCGCCAACACCACATCCTTCTCCACAGCCTGCGCCGTCGACACTGACGTCAGTATGACGTCGCGAGAGCTCAAGGCGCCGGCAAGCGCCGATGCCGCCATCAGCTCGTCGTCCGCGGCGCTGGCGGCGGCTGCTGCTGCTGCGGCAGCGGCGGCAGAGAAGCCCGAGCCAGCAGCGGCGGCTGCGGCGGCGGCGGCGCGGGGACTGCCGTTTCTGCTCCTGCTGGTGACGGCATGGTCGAGAATAACGCCGAGCTTGGCGGCCTCGACTACTGCCACGTGTGCCTCCTCCTCCGCTTGCTGCGCCACCTCGAGAGCACCGGTAGACGGGATACTGCCGTCGGGTCCCCGCGGGGAATGATTTGAAGGAAAAAAATGAAATTGCCAATGTTAGTATCGGATTATGAAGCACGAACGGCAAGCACGATACTCACTGACACGTTTCAAGTTGAACACGTGTGTGCTCGTGAGGGAGTTGAGTCACAAACGGCAAAAGAGCGAACAGGCAAGGCTGTTTACCCTGCTGCGTCGAGTATGCGACACCACGAAGCTTCCACGAGAGCCACCTGGCGGAGCTGCGAGGCTCGCTTAGCAGCCATGGCGGCCTCCTGCTTCTCCCGCTCCAAACGACCCAGCTTGCTCGGAATCAGCAGCTGCTCCAACGGCGGCTGCGGTCCTACCTCCTCCTGCGATGACCAGATCATCACACGGGGAATGCAGAATGCGTCAGTCGAAAAAGTCGATTGCTGAAGAGTTGGCGACGCAACAAACAAGCGAAAACTTTCATATTCTGCATGCGGAGAGCCGCTATGGAGGATAATAAGACGCAGAAGGACGGCGGAATGAACTTGTGTTGAACAAAAAGACCATTTTTCTGAAAGTAAATCAGCAGCAAGGAATGCGGCGATTGTGATGGAGGGTCGCACCTGCAGCTCTCGCAGCCTCCGCGTAAGGTACGGCTCGAGTTTCACTCGCGGGAACCACGCCGGCTGCGGGGACGCGACCGGACCCGTTTTGGTGCGAGCGGCGCTGCCAACCAGACTCCTGCGAGCACCAGACGGCGTTGATTCGCCCGCGTTCTCTTGCTTCGTGCCCTCGTGTTGTGAGGGGTGGGAGATTGGTGGACTCGCTACGACCGGGACGCGCATTGGCTTGATAAACGTGTCCGGGTTTGGAATCTCGCTGTTGCTTGCGACCCTTCTTGCACGGTCTTCCGGCGGTGCAGCGTGATCCGAGACATGAGGCTCGTGAAGAACTGTCCTGGAAACGTCGTGGTGCCCGTCGATTCCATTTTCAGAATTCATGTCTAATGGTTGAGTCATGTTGGTTCGTGTCTCGACGTAAGGAAACTCGAGAGGACAACTATGCCGGAAAGGATAACACCCGTTGGTCCGCCCCAAATTGGCTACTTCTCAGCAGAGGGTGAAAGCTAAACTCAGCGGAAACGGTAGACGGACCTAAAATGAGCGAGAGTGCTTGCACAGTTATGGGAAGAATTCTACTACTGTCGGACGAGAGAGCAGTATGTTTCCAGCGGTTGCAAGTGTTGAGGAGCCTATCCCCAAGAAACCCTGAAATTGGTGCAATGGCGCTTCGGGAATTGGTCTGCCGCAGAGTCCAGGAATTCCAGGAACTCGACGATGGTTTTTGCTGGATTTTCGTTTCGCGCTAATTTTCCTGGCGTCGGGCGGGAAGCTGGACCCTCTGCCATCCTTCGCTGTGTGCCAGTTGCTATCTGACGAGTAAAGTAATATCTACATGCATATCATAACTTCAGTTAGCCAGATTCAACTAGCCACTATAACATATGCTCATATGATAATGTGAAGCCAACACAGAATACAATATTAGGTAAACATCTAAGCATCTAAAGCAGTGTCTAACCTCTAACCCTGATCCAACCATTCTCCATTTAATAAGAACATGAATAGAAACTAGCTTCCAGTGTGGCAGAACACATTACTTGGAAGAACCAGAACCGAGGCTCACAGAGGCAACTGATGAGGTAACAGAAGAAACGGAGGACGCAACGCCCTTGAACACTTTCAGAGCACCACCCCATGCAGAGGTGCTGCGCTTGACAGCATCTGTGCCAGAAGACGGGTAGACTAGCACAGGGCATGGTGCATTGTGCAGCAGGTGCTGGGACACACTCCCCATCATTGCTTTCTGGAAGAGGCCACACATGGGAAAAATGGCAGCACAAAATTTTCAGTGCCACACATGGGAGAAAAGTGGCAGCAACCCACCATGACATTAGATTTTCCACTCTCCATATAATTCTAAATTCTGTGGATTTTTTTTAGAACAAAAATAGAGCGAATGGCTAAGGGACGTATGGAGGAAGCGGGGGACAGAGGGAAACGACAGGAGGGAAGGTGTGGAGTACGAGGGAGTAAAGAATGGAAAGGGGAGAAAGTAAAGCATTTGAACAAAGGGGTTTGAGGGTCAGGTGTAAAATATACGTCCAGGCGCGAGTAAGAGGGATGATGAAGCAGGGGAAAGGGAGAAACAAAAGATTTTGGGCAAACGGGTTGAGGGCCAGGTGCATGAATAGTTGGATTTTATAAAGTTGGATCCATGATCTTAAATATCCGCTTCATACGTTGTGGTCTTACACAAGCACCTCTTCGTGGACTTGCCTTGATTCGAGAAACATTGCATACCTTTCCAAGTCCTGACGCAGACAAGCAAAACCGTATCATGCGTCTAAAACGCGAGAAACCACATGCGGTGAACTGGAACTCACACTTACACACATCCGCACAAAAACGAAGAGCTCAGCAAGCGTGGTTGTCTCACCGTGAGAGCGGTCTTGCCCTGACTTCCGACGATGATGAAGTCCACAAAGTCCTCAGTCGCGCGGTTGCACAGCACGTCTCGCGGGTCTCCCTCGCCCAGCATCGTCTCCACTTGAATGCCCGGGTGAGCCGCCTTCACCTCCGCCGACGCCTCATCCAGCAAATCCCCTGCCTTGGCAGCAATACCCGACTCCGATCGTTGAAATTCGGCGCTGGAAGCTGGAAATGGACAAAAAAAAATAAGGGAGAAGGAGGCGGCCGGAAGTCAGCTGACAGGAGCATTGATGTTACAGTCAAGAGATAACAAGCTTATTACAGATAGTGTAGAGACACACGTAAATCACTTCACAGACTGTGAGATTAGCGTTGCCACTAAAGGTTGAACACGGGGATTTATGCCATGCACAAAACACCAAGCTAGAAAAAGTGATTCTTTTGAAGCGAAGAGCGGAAACACAATATAACGTCGATAGAAAACACAGGGCTTTCTCCGCTAACAATAAGGCACCAAAACAGAAAGAATTACCGTCAAACTTCGGCCTGACGAACATGATGATGACGTAGTCCGTTTTCGGATCAAAGATATTATCTATCGAATAACTCATGGCTTTTTTGCTTGCCTCGCTACCGTCTACTGCAATCAGAATCACTCGCATCCATGACGGACGGCTCGACTTAGTTGCCATCCCAATGTGCCAGCGGATGAACGGTGACACTAGCTGTATCAGGCAACAAGGACAACTCGGTGGAAAAACTCTTCTGCGAGCAGCTAATAAACACGAGTTCTTCTATAAGTAGCTAAGTAACACGCGTTTCGCGCGTGTGCGTTCAAATGCAAGGCAGAAAGGATCAGTCAACCGACTTCGTTCCAAGATATCAGCAGAGCAAGTGGGAGTTCCCAGTAAGTGAGCTGAACTGATTTGAGAGGGAGGAGTGTTGCCAAAAACCCCAAGGTCCTCCCAACCCAACCCAGCCAAAAGGGGCCTTGACTTCGCAACTCAACCAGCAGCCCACCACCACCGCCGCCAAGCCATCCGTCACTACTGCCTTATCCTGATCGGAACCGCCATCCACCATCCATTGTGTTCGCATGTCGCACGCCCTTCCACGTGAGGCTTGGCGATGGTTCCCGCGCACGAATCTGGCGAGTACGAGAATTCAGATAGACGAGGACGGTCGATGGCCTTCTGTGCGAACCATTTGCGCCGTCCGATCGATCGCTAAGCTGGTGAAACCCAACGATTGTGAATCTCTTGGCCGTCTAGTCCACGATGGCGGCTATTCGCATATCGTGGGATGGATGAACGCTTTTGGGTGAGCTGGTGTTTGACGACAACCAAGGAGACGTCAGGAACGACGTGGATTGAATCTTTCGTGGTTGCCGATTGACTGTGATTGGCTTGACGAATCATGGGTACAAGCGGCTGACCAACCCGTGATGAGAGGCGACAACACATGGCACTCCATACAGTGTGACACCAGCTCAGCACAAGTACAGCAATTTCAGCTGCTGCAACCCCGATATAGGTGAGGCAAGCACGTTGAAGCTTATAAAGCTACCACACTAATCACACCAGGTTTACCATCTTCTGTACGAGGCTGATTAAGCCCTTGGCTAAACTTCAATCATAGCTTATGTACATATTGAGAAAGACATATATATAGGTAAATTGTATCAAGGTATATGATTTTACAGTTAACTGTTTCCGTATATTTATTAAGTAAATGGAATCTGAGAACGTGAGGTATGCTCATGTGTAGGGAATTTTATCGGCATTCCTTACGGAGTCCGACTATATCGCGTACAGCAACAGCCGTTGTTCGCCCGTTACTGCTAACGGGGCTTTGCCAACTTTGCGCGCACTGTTTTGCCAAACCTCGCACTACTAGCCCAGCCGTGTCGGCCTACGCTTCGGGACTAGCCCGAGCCTCGCTGCCAGCATAGCACTAGCTAGCTCGCACGCAGCACGTTACCGTTTGCATGTTTCGCGTATAAATGTTTGCTCATGCCTTCGCTCACATTTTGTACTCGTTTGACACCTTACTGACAAAGTTTGAAGAAAGAAAGAGCAATGAACTAGCAGAAATGGGGATACAAATAGCAAACCCTAGAAGGGTTGTACTCGCTATAGAGCACCCCACTACAGGCTAGAACATAAGAATAATATTCTGACACACCCTCATAGCCAAAGTGGGGTGTAATCAGCAGAGAAGGCAAAGTAGTACAAGCTCAGGGTGGATCACAATGTCACCACACATTCTGAGCACAAGTTAAAGAAGCAATAGTTTAAAGTTAAGAATTATGAGCAAAGCTAGTGGTAGTCACAACGGGCAAGTGAGGAGGAGGAGAGAGAGTGAGGGGAGAGGAGATAGGAGGAGACGGCTGAAGCTGCAGACACACGGGCAACAGGAGGCAGACTGGCACAGCGGCTACCGGACTAAGCGCCCGGACTACAGGAGTAACAGGCCCCGCGGCTAAAGTAGCGGCAGACGAGCAACGGACCCACGGGCAGCTGGCGTAGAAGTCTGGCTCACTGGGCTACCGGGACAGCGCCCCGGACTACAGGTGCTGCGGACGACAAGCCGGCAGCCTCCGCTCAACCTCCCGCAAACAGTCCCACCCCCCTGATACACACCCACTGCTACACCGCTAGCTCTACTCCCACGCACCCCCCCTTAAACCCTAAACCCCAGTCTCCCACACAACCACCCCCCTCAGCGACAGCTGCAGCAGTGGGAGACGAAGGAGGAGGAGGAGCAAGGGAGGAAGGCACACCGGCCACCCCCATACCCGCCACCCCACAGCTCGCGGCCCCCGAAGGAGCCGCGACGGGCGACGGGAAATGGCAGGGGGAAGGGGGGGGGGGGGGGCGGTGTGGTGAAAGGGGCCCACCACGGGCCTGGTTGGAGGGCGGGGCCGCGACAAGGGGCGGGACCGCGACGGTCGGGGCGGGGCAGCGACGAGGGGCGGGGCCGCGACGTAGGGCGGGGCCGCTTCGAGGGGCGGGGCCGCGACGCAAGGCGGGGCCGCGACGTAGGGCGGGGCCGCATCGAGGGGCGGGGCCGCGACGGTCGGGGCGGGGCCGTGACATAGGGCGGGGCCGCTTCGAGGGGCGGGGCCGCGACGCACGGCGGGGCCGCGACGTAGGGCGGGGCCGCGTCGAGGGGCGGGGCCGCGACGGTCGGGGCCGCTTCGAGGGGCTGGGCCGCGACGCAGGGCGGGGCCGCGACGTAGGGCAGAAGCCCGCCGCGCGCCTCGGGGCGCACAGCGGGCAAAGAACCGCCGCGCGCCTCGGGGCGCACGGCGGGCAGAAAACCGCCGCGCGCCTCGGGGCGCACGGCGGGAG